ATGCGGCAAGTCACGCGCGGGGATCAATACGGAACCATCGGCTGTGAGTACCGGTACCGCCAAGGGGCGTTGCGTGTCTGACAGTGTCTGAGCTATTAGACATTAGAGGTGACGATGGAGGGATCGTCGTTAAATAAGAGGGTGCTCCCGCTAGATGGAGACATACATTGTTTTATTCAACATGGAGATGTGTTATTTTTGTCGTACTTTCGTTCTATAGAAATATTTTGACTATCTTTTTTAATTACCTTGTGTATGTATACAATATAAAAGTTAATTGCAATGATTATTAATTATCTGGTAGGTATATGAAGAGAATATTATTTATTATTATTGTTGTTTGAAATTTGATGACGATGTAGATGATTGATTTGTTGTTTGTCGGACATTGTCTATACAGTTTTTTTTGTTCATGACGTTTCGGTTGATGTGGTCTGAAAGTCCGAGAAAAAGCATCTCATGACACATTATTTTATACGAATTTGAAAAGTTTTTCTCATAATTCTACAGGATGATGAGGTGTTATCTGGGTGTGCGTGGGTGAGTATTTGAATTTACATTTCACGCGTTTTTAATGAGTTGTTTCGGCTTATTTTCGAGTTTTTGGGTATTTTTAATCGGTGTGAGAACTGTGGGACCAATAGCTAAACGCCGCGCCGATAGGCTATGTGCAACCGTTGAAAAGGTTTTGTCTTTATGTCGAAAATTTCACTTGGAAGTTAGCTAAAGGGTTGCTTTTTTACCCTCAAATTCAGTTGATGGAGCACAGACACGAATTACTCAGCTTGGTAGAAACTGCAGTGCCACCATGCAGGAATATTCGTGATGGCGGCGTTCTTGGCTATCATTATTGCGATCTAACCACCCTGTATAATCGCGTTTGTAGAAAAAACTATTATGCGCTTTTTACACAGGCTTTTTATCCAAAATAAATGGACAAATAGATGAAAAAAAATCATGTGTAGTTGTTATTAAACATAAATAATAAGAAGATAAATTATTTCCATTTTCTTCAGTTTTGCCGTCAAAGAAATAAGCTCTTATATATCCAGGATATCGTTTATTTTTGTAATTGAATTTGCCTAAGGTTAAATTATACAAATTTTCGTTACGAAAAAAATAATAGCGTCCACTTTTGACAATCAAGTACACATACCTCTATAACCGGTTGCATATACGTCGGCCGTGGGGTGGCTGCGACATTGCCCAATCCTGCTATTTAGCGGTCATTTATATTACTTCTTTCTGCAACGTAGACAGTGGTCGCCACTGCTACATTAAAACTACTAATAAATAAATGGGCGGTAGCTGCTATTTGATTAAAAAAGTGATTTAATATACAGGAGTTGTGTATGATGCGGCAACTATAGAAAAATATTCCTGAATTGCTTGCAGCTTCAAGGAAAATTTCAGAAGATGGGCAACACAGCATTTGCTTATCCTTAAGCTGGTCATATACTTCTTTCTCTTCCCTCCTTCTTACTGGAATGTGGCTGCGACTCAACTTCAAATTTATTTAGTTCTACCAGAATTCCTGATTTATAACTACGTGCATGCTATTTATTGAGATAGACTGATCACTAGCTGTCATCTCTGAGGCTAACCAATCCTATTTGAGCTTAATAGCACCTTGCGTGAACTGTATGGACTGCATACAGGGTTTGAGATAGTTTGTCTATTTGTCATACGTTACGACACTGACTCAAATTTAATACCATTAAGCTCAAGCTTTTCGAAAAGTTATTTCTACGGTTGGCACGTCAAACAGAAGGACTGAAAGAGTATAGCGTCTGTGGAAGTTTTATTTTTCTATGCTAACCATGGCTGGTGTTCTCGAGTATCCCATTTGAGATATGTCGCAGGAAAATGTCGAAAGCTGCAGCAAATTTGAGTCCAAGTTTCGACATCGGTGTCGTATGTGACATATGCTCGGATGCAGCACTAGGGTTTTCTTTTTGTGATTTTGTTAATATTTGTCAATGCGCTGCCACTATTATCAAAGTAAGTGATTTTGAATGGGTGTTCGAAAAAGGTGGTCGATAACGAAGGTAAAAGTACCCAAGTTCCAGCAAGCTACTATGTTGTCCTTGGACATTTTCTGAAATGTCGGTTGCAAGACTCGAGAAGGAGGTTTATGTTTCGCGTGACATTTTAGCATCTCGCATGCGACATTGACCATTCGAGAAGACCCCCAAGACACTCCCGCTAGGCAGTGGCTAGAGTCTGATTTATTATCCAATTAATAATAAAATTGGTGCATTTGGTGCCGCTTGAGCCATCTAGGAACAGAGAAGAGAATTATTCCACTTGCCTTTTTTTTCAATAACAGATGGCGTACGTACTGCTTTCAATACTAATCGTTTCTAACAGGTCTCAGCAGGCAGACAATAAGAGGTTTCTCGCTATGTATTGTATTTTTCAGGTCTGGGTATATACTGTTTAGTTTCGTTTATATTAGTGTTCTTATTTTTGTGTTGATACTGTTGATCATTTTATTGATATATCATTTGCTGCAGATTCTAACATTAAATCTACTGGTAAGTAACAAAACTGCTTAAATATCTAACATATTATAGTTTGATCCAGAAATAAATCTTAGTCGCGAAATTTGTTTTTAACGCTTTTTCTTCTGGAAAATGCGAATCTCAGGATAACCAAGAGCCAGAGCAATCTGTTAAGAAAAAGACACGAAAACAAATGTTTTGTGTACTTCATCATGGCTAGAAGATCCGTTATTTAAAGGCTGGTTGGGACCTATTGAAAATGACAAGTTGAAAGCAAAATGTAATCAAATAATGGGTGCTAAAAAATCAGATTTAGTGAATCATTCGAGATCAAAAAGGCATGCCACTAATGTACAAGCAATTTCAAATGTAAGAACGTTAGATAGCACTTTTCAGTCTCGGGAAGCACGTGAGTTGGAAAAACGGCAAATATTTGCTTGCTTAAGATATAGTCTTTTAGTTGTAAGTCATTATATAAGTTTTAGAACTGTTGATCATATAACAGGAGTTAGTCAATTATGTTTTAAAGACCCAGATCTCTCTAGCTCACTTAAATTAAAAAGATCCAAATGCATAAGTGTAATTAAAAATGTGCTGGCTCCTGTTATTAAAGACGAAATAATTTCAGAACTGGAAAATAAACCATTTTCTATTTTATTGGATGAGAGTACAGACCAGTGCAATACAAGACTACTATGCATTCTTGTAAGGTATTATCATAAAAATTCAATTAAAACCCATTTATTAGATATAATTAAAATAAACGCAGATGAAGGTACCGTCAAAGGTTTATATTCTCTTTTTAAAAAATGCGTTATATCCAATCAAGTAAAAATTACCAATATTGTTGGATACTGTTCCGACAACGCTAGTGTTATGATGGGCAATAACGAATCTTTCAAAACTTATCTTTTAAAAGATAATCCTAATACAATTGTCAATGGCTGCATTTGCCCCTCTGTTCATTTAGTGGCGGTGGCGGCAGCTGAAAAGATTCCAAGCAACTTTGAAGCTCTGTTACAAAACTTATATTCTTACTTCTCAAGAAGCCCAAAAAGGCAGTGTGTTCGTGAAGAATTACAGGAATATTTCAAAAAGTCAAAATTAAAAATTTTAAGCCCTAGTAAAACAAGGTGGCTTGCTTTATCCAAGTGTGTTGATAGAGTTTTGGATCAGTTTGACATCTTGCTTAGCCTATTTAGATTAGCTTCCATTGAAGACAAAAATCCTGTAGCAAATGTAATACTTAATGAGTTACAGAATCCATTTGTTAAGGCGTATTTAATGTTTTTTAAATTCGTGTTGCCCATTTTTTAACCAATTTAATGCTCTCTTTCAATCAGAGAAAGTTATGCTCAATATCATATCAATAGAGAGTGAGCGATTTGTACGTCATCTATGTACAAACTTTATGCGACCAGAATATTTTAAAAATGAGAAATTATATAATCTAAATCCTAATGATCCCCACTGCTTATTACCAATTGAACAAGTGAATGTTGGTCCGCATACAATGGATGCAATAAAACACTGCAATAACACGGAAATCGAACAATTTAAATTAAAATGTGTCACATTTTACCAAAAATCGGTAGAAGAGTCCCTTAAAAGATTTCCTATCAAAGGCAACTTCTTTTCAGAGCTAATGTTTTTCTCACTGGTTGATGTGATGAACAATCGTCTTATTATAAGTGATACCTTTCATGACGCCGTTTTAAAAAAATTTGCCCTTCATATTGAAACCGAAAAGGCAATTTTGGAACTAAAGAAAATATGTATTTATTTTAGTGATAGTGAGAGGAAATTTTAAAAACAAAAAGTAATGTCATTGAATTTTGGTTTTGGTTTGTAAACTGGCTCTAATTTTAACATTGCCTCATGGAAACGCTGATGTTGCGCGAACTTTTTATTATATGCTTGATTACAAAACAAAAAAAAGGAATAAAATAATACCATCAACTTTGTCTGCACTACTTACAATTAAATTAGATCAAAAAAACAGTGCTGTTTATCCTATAGTTTTAATGAGAATCATTTAAACAAATATAAAAAGAATTTATATAATGTAAATAAGGAAGAACAAGTTGAAGAAGAAGTAATTTCTGATTCTGACTGTGAATAAAATAAGCAAACGTAGGCATTTCCACGTTTCCGCTTCTTCTTTGTCCTTATTTTTTGTTTTTTTTTTTTCTATTAAGATTAAGATATTGGTGATAGTTTCTATTTTTTTATTTGTTCCTAATTCTAAACCAAAGATAGTTTTGTTTTTTTAGAGGTATACTTTTTATGTTTTTTCGAAAAATTGCAATTATATTATGTTACTGTTTGTATTTTTAGTAGGGTTTTTAGACAGTGTTTAAAAAAAAGTAAATATGTAAAAAATATATTTGTTGTTTATTTTAAGCCCCCCCCCCCCTTAAATTTTTAGACCGTAGCGGCATGTAGCGGAATTTTGCGATACGTGTGACGGATATTTTAAACTTCGCTCTGGCAACACTGGTCTGCGTCAGCTTTGTCATAAATGTCAAATTGTGTTTTCCACAATTTTTTTGTACAAAAAAATCAATAAATAGCTATTCAGAAATTTTTATTGTAACTTGTAATAGGTGTGGTAATAGGCATCTCAAGTCGTTCTAACGACCTATTGTTTGATAAAGATGATGCAAAGTGCTCAAAAAGAAGCCATAATTGATGTTTTTTCACCCGACCTGCATATTCCGGAAAATTTGAGATAATACTGGGATAATGTAAGGGAAGAACATCCCTAACTGAAATCAAATGGATTCAAAGGAACGCCCTGATGAGCTTTTGATGCAGGCAATATACGAGAATGACGTGAATTTTATTAGTTGTTTTTTGACAAGAGGTTATTCATTTCTATACATTTTCAAGTATAATGATTTATTTCTGTGTTTTTAGGCATCAATATAAACAAAATCTGTCGTAATGGTATGACCCCATTAGGAGCTGCAGCACAAACTGGGAACCTATCAGTATTAAAAGCTTTAATAGAGTACCATAGTTCTACCTTAAACCTAGACCATCAAAATGACAATTGCAAGCCTCAATGTTTAAATTTAAACACAGACTGTCAGAAAAAGTATAAGAATATAGGGTATTTTGTAGTCTGCAGAGATGTGGAAGAAAATGAATTTGGAGATGGCCCTACTCCAGATGGCATGGAGGCCTTAGAATGGGATATGGAAGTTAATGACCCTCAAGCAGGTAAAAAAATTATTCAGAGTCTGTGAAGGATCACTTTCAGGACTAAATATAAATCAATTTCTTAATAAACATAATTCGAATTATATTTAAACCTTCAATTCCTGTTTATGTTTTGAAAGGGGCTACTCCTCACTAGATTGTTGAAGATTGATTCATGCTTATGTATTGTTTCTTATAATCCCTACTTAAATTTTAATATTATAAGTATTCAACATTCCACTACTTAGCATAATCATTTTGATTTAGACTTGTTTGGTGTTTTGTTTTACTTCAAGTATAACACTGAATAGTTATTGGGTTATTTGTCATACAAACTCTTAATGCTTTGTGGTCAAGTATCTTCTTCTCTTTATATAAATATGATTGTCTATCTTTGTCTGTCAGCATCATGGCTGAACCACAATATGGAGAAATGTAAAAATTTGTATACCTACTTGCTAATTGATACCAGCGAAGGTTGTAGGCAGGATTTTATATTATGTATGCATCCACCAGCAACGTCACAGCCAGCAGTTGCCCCACTCAACCTGTGACCATCAAGTGATACAAACGTTTTATCTTGCACCAGCTGTTACCCACTGCTTTATACGCTTGAAACTGTTACTAACCCAAAACATTGTTTTTAAGTAATGATATGAAATTCCGATCAGGTTTTGTATTATTGATGGAAAAAGTAAATTGACAGTCAACTTGCATACTTGGGAAATTTGGTCACTTTATTAGCGACGCCTCCTACACGTTCCGCTGGTAAAAATACAAATCAATGGCATATGGAATTGGAATTAACCCGACAGCAGGAAATTTTGGCTCAAGTTTAACATCGAAATTGAACCCTGAAGCCCCAAAAATCTTAGGCTTTCCAGTTCCTCAAAATAAGCAGTTCTATGCAAGAGGCCTCCCTCACCAATGGGCATCAAAATCAATATTTCAATGGATTATTTTAGTTGAATGAATGAGGAGCCGGAGCAATAAGCCAAATAACAGGCCCATATGCACCACGACATCCTCTAAGCCACAAGTTTTGCCCTTCTAGTGAAATTTAGTATAGCCCTGATTCCCAGCTCCTTAACATTCTGGGGATCTAAAGTATTGGGCTCCAGTATACTCTGCCTGTAGTAGCTCAGAGCCTCACAGTGACATGGAAATTCGGCCGAGGACTCTTCCTCTATCCCGCAGCACTCATACATGGGATCCTCACCATCACATTCAGGTAACGCCTCATCGTGTTATGGCTAGACAGCAGTCTCATCAACAACATTAGGTTAGCTCTATCCAAAGATAAGCAAAAATGTCCATCCTTAACACTATGCTCTACGTTGAGCTCCCGTGCCTGACAGAGATGTCTAGAAATTTTTCTCGATTTCAGAGAGTGTAGCAATCCACTTCTCTGTTATCCTGCTGATTCTTTGCGCGAGCATCCTTAGGGCTGGCTCAGCACCAACAAGCTTGCCCGCTGATCCTGCTTTCGCGAGAGAGTTCGCCATATCATAACCCTTTATCCCAGAGTGCCCCGGTACTCACACTAACGGTACCGGATGCCTGGTTGATAAACTATCCAGAGCCTCCCTGCATTGCAATACAAGCCCTGAATTAATTTTAGTGCCTTCATCGCAGTCTGGCTGTAGTAGTAGTAGTCCTTTATTTAGAAAAAAAAAATCCTAATTTCAACAATAACAACTGGTAGCATTACAGCATTGCATAAGTACATACATATATATTCAAATACAATAAATTTAACAAATTCTGTCAGATCTTATGTGTTTGATAAGTGCTTTCTTGAAATACCCGACTGAGTCGGCGTTTTTTATTTGCTGGGGCAACTTATTGTATTCACATAGACCTTTGTACATTATTGTTGGAGAAGACTTTTATTCTTCTCCTAGGCCCTTCCCCCTGGAAAATAGTGGTGTATCCGCCGAGAGACAGTGAGAGCCTAGTTCTAGGCTCAAAGACCCCGGCGCCAGAGCCCTCTTCAGTAACCGAGCCGTCCGTGTACCAGACCTTCGGAGACCTTCCGGAATCCCACTCCGCTGTGGTCGGATAGTCCACGTTAAACTTGCGGTTGAAGCGATATTTTGGTTACGGATGCTGGCGACTTTGCCTTGGCATCTCAGAGGGAGAGGGCTCTAATATGATTGCATCAACAATACAGCATTTGAATACAAAGTAGATATCCGAATATTGGGATTCAGAAACTGTATTAAAAATCCAGAATACCGTGTAGTGACCAAAAGAAGTATCCAGTCGAAGACTAAATAACACACACAAATGTATTCGAATAGTATCCGAATACCATTCTGACTAGGATTCAAAATACCGAGTATTCGAGTCGGATCGGAATGCAGTTAAAGAGTACCAGTACTTAATTCCCTAGCAACTGTTCACTGTTACCTCTCAACTCTCATGCTGATAGTTAATATTCGTTACAGAAGAACCTAGTGAAGACTCGCCAGAATCCAATATCTACAAGTGGTACGCTAATATTCTGACTAGGACTTCAATAGTGCTTGAGTCACCGGAGAAGGATATAAGTAGGTTAGATAGACACGGGCAAGGTGTCATACACTATGCGGTGAACTCTGGTAATATTGAAGTTTTAGAATATCTTTTGGCCACTATGGGAAATGCACTGAGTCTTGATCAACCTGATATATGTAACTTCAGGTAAGTCTGAAAAAAAAACTGTTGTTTTTGTTTTTACATTTACGTTTCTTATTTACTGAAATACCGAAAAGTTCTCAATTTTACACTATTTTTTAAAATAAGACAGATATTTCCAGATGTTTTACCGAAAAAGAGCTGGAACCAAAAATAAAGCTAAAAAAATGTACCAGTAATACATAAGCGTACCCTGTTTGTCTAATAGGTGCGTAGAATTACCGAATAACCCCGCATCCCTATTTTTTTGCACCTAAAAAATTTATCAGTGTAGGCCAGGATACTTCAATACGTCAAAAACGAAGTTTGAGCGATTATTTTTTTCCTTACTTTCCAACACATAAACGGGCCAAGGATAAACGGACAGATAGACATACACACGGGCCTACAGACAGACAGACGGACAGACTAACGGAAACGAGTGACGTGTTTTTTCGTGATGTACATGTCATATAACATCCAATAAACATAATCTGTCATTATTGAAATTTTTCTTAATTGCAATACTTCCTCGTCACTAATTTTCTGGATGATAACATACCACGTAGTTGTAATTGTTGTCTATCAGAATAGGTTAGTCAATGATAAAATGTAAAATAATATGCAAAAAATGCATGTTAAACAGCAACGTTTGTAAGATTTAGAGTAGATTAGATTTATTGAGCACTCAAGATGTAATGTTCTTGTGTCATGTTATCATTTTGAACCTTGACGTTAAACACATAATATAAGTGCTACAATACCCAGTATAGGCATCTTAATACATTTTTGCTAGTACCATGTTTTTTTTACGGGTTTCAGGCCTCGTGCAAATATTAGATTATTTATTAGTTATTTGCCCATCTTACTTATAGGCCACAATATACAGACTGATGGGATTCAGGCATTCACAATTAGTTTCAAACTCCGATAATGGGCCGTATTTTCTCGGGACCTTATTTTCCAAAAAAAATCATGATGCAACGTCTCTGAAACGTTGCTATTGCAGCGCAAATCGTTTCACATTTTTCCTTTAACCACCATAATCAAGGATACCTGGTTGGCTGCGAGATAAAGAAACAATGGGATAATTACATAAAAAGGTTAAGAATATACGATAGACACTAGAAAAGAAATCTACCTAGCCATGAAAAAAAAACGCACAATACGTCAGACAGTGGCAGGTGTAATAGCCTTACTTGTAAAATTTGAGTTAATTTTGATAATTAGTTTCCAATTGTGTAAAGTGAATTGTGAGGAAAAATGAGTAACTTAAAATTAGAGTATCCCAGTGTCATAAAATTTCTGATAAAAGTGCCTTGAGCCTAAAACAATTCTTGAGAGAATGGTTTTTGTCTATGGAGATAATGTACCATCATATTTTGCACAATAAAATTTTGGTTGAAACCTTTTCGATGGAGAGGTGAATCCATAGAAGACGATCCCAAAACAGCAACAAATGATAAAATGTATCAGAAAATTGAAGCCACGGTTCTCGAAGATCGTCGTGTGAAGGTCTCTCTACCTTGGTAAGGCATTGCATATATATCAAAACCCAGATTAATAACCATCTTGCATGACAAATTGAACATCAGTAAGATGTCAGACAGGTGGGTTCCACGACTGTTGATACCTGAACAAAAATTGTTCAGGTTAGAAAAGTCAACGATTCTGACATTTTGGCACACATTATGACTTGGCTTCAACAATTATCTCACTAGATTACTAAAGGAAAATCTTCGAAAACGCCGTGTTTTTGAGCCAGATGATGGCCTAAAAGCAGCCGCGGACGACTTTTTTGAGAGTCAAGACGAATTCTATAAGGGTATAAGTTTACTGGAGGAGAAATGGCGCAAGTGAATTGATGTAGGAGGAAATTATATTGAAAAATAAAATTATCAAAAAAATCGTCTTTTGTTTCATGGCTGGGTTGATTTATTTTCAGTACCCCTCGTAGCAACTTGACAAACAGAAATAAAAAGAAAAAAATTAGGTTATGTTTCTATAGGAATAAGTTTTTTTATTCCAGCCCTCTCCATTCGGCTTCTGCTAATGGGCATGCAGAGATGGTCAAATGGCTAATCAAGAAAGGAGCAGATGTTAATGCAGTAGGTGGCAGACATCGACATACTCCTCTGCATGTTTCAGCCAGGTCAGGCAATTTGGATGTGATAAAGGCTCTGGTAGAGGGTGGTATGTATCAGGAGTATTCAATGACTATTTTTGTTTAATTCATAGATTAAGATATCCCGCTAGAAGGTAGCCAGTCGAATAGGGTAGTTGACACTTTTTGGGCCTTAAATAGTTAATATTTAGACCAAAAAATAAAACCATATTTTATTAAGACCTAAAAGACCATCAGACTTTAATTCAAAAATACATTAGACCGGCGAAAACGCTGTCCGCCATGTTGGGCCCCTATATTAATGCGCTCTGACCTCATACCATTATCGAATAATACAATAACGATAATTACTAGGCGCCAACATCAACGAGGCGGACACTGAAGGAAGAACCGTACTGACGTTAGCTGTATCTCAGGGCAACGAGGAATGTGTCAAGTATCTGTTAGACCTAGGAGCTAGAGTCAACCATGAAGAACATGGTGAAATTACCGCTCTTAGGTTGGCAGTTTTCGGTGGTAATGTTCCTGTTGTCAGGTAGGCTTAACAAATTTTTAAGGTAATGTTCCCACCAATAGCAAGTCGACTTAATTCCGAGTATGACTTTAGTTGCATTGCTTCTGCGTTCTCCGAAGCAACTGGTAGTCTCATTTTGAAGTTGTAGCTAGACACGAAAAATCTCTAGATTAGGAGCCAAGAGTATTTCATCAACTTCGAACCGACTAACGATGAAAATACCGGAAACCATCTGGCAACTGCTCGTCTTTTGTTACTTTAATTTTACCAGAAAAATGTTAAAGGAAAAAACATTTCTTTTGATCAGATCTACTCACTGTTAAAATAAATGACTCAACTTCAAAGTCACCACTTTTAAAATTAATGCGTAAAGTCTATATAAACATGGGTCGAAAAATGCGTGGCTTCCGAAATACAGGGTGTTAAAATTTACTTTCTAAAATACTTTTTTTTAAATATTTCGAACAATATTTGATGTATAACAGTGAAAATTGGTATACAAGGGTTTTTTGGTACGACAAAACGAACCATGGGCATAGTTTTTCTGTAGCCGCTAGGGGGCGCTCTCTACTGTACCTGTAGTGTATTAAAATGACCTTAAATTTTTTCTTAGTGCAATTTTTTGCTTTTTGCAGAAAAAAATTGTTTCTTCGCACTTTTCAACATAAAAAAGCTCTCTTGTGAATTTTCGTTATAGTTAGCAGTTTTTGAGATATTTCGATTTTTAAGGTTCGATGCATTTATAATTATTTATGATAAAATAACGTTAAAAAGTCAGTATCTCGATAATTTTTAGAAGTAGGCTGTGCCTGCAAATATTTTTGAAATTGAAAGCAGAATAAGGTTAAACGTCAATTAGTTGACAGTTAGTTTTGTTGTCTGTTGAAACCTGAAACGTTTTTTTGCAATTGTGAATGGACGAAATTTAGTTTCTTTTACCTGTTTTTTTGTAAGTTTTATAAAAATGCCATTTTTATTCTCCAATCAAGAGTTAGCGGATATTCATTTTGTGTATGGCTTTGTAAATGGAAACGCAGCAGAAGCAGCCAGACAATACGCACGAAGATTTCCAAACAGACGACATCCAACTCGCTCAGTATTTGTAAGAGTGCATCGCCAAATAATTGTAAATGGTTTTGGAAATCTCCAAAGGGATCAAAACATAAATGTTCGTCAGCGCAGATTTACCAGTATGATTCTGCGTGAGTTTGATAGAGATCCGGCCACAAGTGTTAGGAGAGTTTCTGGTGCCTTGGGAATTTCAGCAAGCCATGTTCACCATGTTCTTGGAAATGACCATAGACATCCTTACCATTTGCAACCTGCGCAAGGCCTACAGCTAGGGGACGGAGAACGAGGAATCACATTTTGTCCGTGGATTCTTGATAGAACTGATAATAATAGGGAGTTTTTAAGTAACGTTTTATGGACCGATGAGTCATGCTTCACTAGACGTGGAGTGGTAAATTTTCATAATCAACATATTTGGTCGCATGAAAATCCGCATGCAGTTCGGGAAAGAAATTTTCAGCATGAATTTAGTGTGAACGTATGGATTGGTATCTACCGTAATCGACTATTTGGACCCTACCTTTTGCCTGCAAGGTTAAATGCTGCGACCTTCTTGGAATTTTTAAAGGCTGAACATGCAAATATATATATATATATATATATATTGATGGTTGTCCAGCTGATTATTCGAGAATAGTTAGAAACTGGCTGGACGAAAATTATCCAGAAAGATGGATCGGCCGTGGAGGACCAGTCGCCCGGCCTCCACGATCCCCTGACCTAAATCCATTAGGTTTCTTTGTGTGGGGATTTCTAAAAGAAAAAGTGTACCAGACTCCCGTAACCACAAGAGATATGCTAATAGACAGAATCAGGAATGCATGTGATGAAATAAGGCCTTATTTGAATAATGCTATACCACGTTCGATCATTCGTAGATGTGAATTGTGTATTGAACAATTGGGTTTACATTTCGAGCAACTACTTTAGATTTTGTATGTTTGTCCTAACTATCCAATAGCATTTTAGTTGTAAATGATTAATTAATTAATATATTAATAAAATAATTAATTTAATTCGTTAAAAATAATATTGGAAAATTAAACAAATCAATATTCTGTTTTTTTGTGTTTATTTGGAGTTAGGAATTATTACTGTGTTTAAAAACACAATCTAAACGATCATCTTAATTACTTGTAATGCCCAAATCGAAAATGTAAAAAAAAATATTATTTTCCCATAAATAATTAAAACTGCATCGAACCTTAAAAATCGAAATATCTCAAAAACGGCTACCTATAACGAAAACTCACAGGAGAGCTTTTTTATGTTGAAAAGTGCGCAGAATCATTTTTTTTTATTCAAAAAGCAAAAAATTGCACTAAGAAAAAATTTTCACTGTTATACATCAAATATTGTTTGAAATATTTAAAAAAAACTATTTTAAAACGTAAATTTTAACACCCTGTATTTCGGAAGCCACGCATTTTTCGACCCATGTTTATATAGACTTTATGCATTAATTTTAAAAGTTCTATCGAATCTTAAAGTTGTGCAACAATAAACTGAAACACCCTGTATATATATGTATATATATATCGTCGGATATCTGACAATATCTGCTATATGCAGGAACCGTAATTTTACAGGGGATGAAAAAAACCTTATCAATTTTATACTACAGGCCTTAAGACTACAACTTTGGTCACAAAAAATAAATGACGTTTAACACATATTTAATGCGTTTTTATCTAAATGAAGCTCTAATTGAATTAGTGCAGATAGCTGATATTCCTGATAACTTTCTTTGCAGTTAGCAGATATTGTACTATGGCGCATAGATGGATTTAGTGAGATTCGTGTTAGAAAAACTGTTCTTCATTATATCAAATTAAAAGTTTAATGCTTTTACAAATCAAAAAAATAATAGCATGTAATCTCAGTTACACCTTAAATGAACGTTCAGCTTCTTTCCTTGGCATATGGCAAATTGTCGTAAAACATGTGACAGTCTTCAGATATAACACTTATAATCTGAAATGACAGGTAGCTGTTTTGGTCTCGTAGGCAACTCCTGAGGCTCTACACTGTCTAGTTAAATTTTTCCATCGGGATTATAATATAGTACTTTGATGTCCGTGCCTACATTGTCCCTGTCTGGTCCAATTGTTGAGTATTGCTGCACCTCAGTTCGAGAGTAGTCCTTGAAGAAGTCGTAACTCAATTGGATCACCTTATATGGCTCTGGTTTTGTCCTAGCTTCTTTTGACGCCTTAACATAGTCATTTGGTAATTCAATAACTCTATTTCTCAGTTTTCTTTAAATGCAACTGTGTACAAAGTCACATTCCATTTGGGTGTATCGCGAGTTTGGTGAGATATTTCTGAGAAATCACAACGTCGTGTTTCATTGCAAAGTTGAGAAAAATAGCACGCGTAATTGTACGATAGCTAGAATTGCCGCTCATTGACAGACGTGTTGCCAGTAGGTATTGTTTTGGCTGAATAATTCAAAAACTAAATTTTTCTGCAGTTAGCAGACTCTATCACAATGTGCGTTGTAGGTAGACGAAGAAAAATGTACATATTCCTAATATTGGGCAAAAATGTCAGATAGCAGGTATTGTAAGATGTCCGACGATATATATATATATATATATATATATATATATATATATATATATATATATACAGGGTGTCCCATCCACGTGTGGACGGAATATTACTCATCAACAAATACAGTTTTGGAAAATCTATTTATGGGATGTTATACTTGACACTTGAGGGCACATTTCTAAAATATTTACCATTATACAGGCTGGCCCAATTGCGACCTACATGTCAAAGTTGTGATTTTTTAAATGGAATGCCTCGAATTTTATTGCATATTTGGATAAACCAATCAATGAGACGGTAGGAGAAACAAACTCTCTTAACTCTTTTTTTTTTTTTAATTTGATGAAGGGTGAAGTGAGTCAAATTTAACTATTCTCCGATCATTCTGACAAGACAAGATCCCGGATTCCGATATTTTCATTGATTCTTGAAGACGAATGCTTTCCGCTTCGTGGTTTATGTGCAATCTACTATCTCCCTTCTGAAAATGCATTAAACCACCGAAAAACCTGGGCTCTTGACAAAACACTGTCTTCGTAGGCTCGTGTTTCCGTTGCACTGTACCCAGTCTGAAGCTAAACCTAATAGGAAAAAGTGATTCACAAAAAAAAACGCGACGAACAACCAAATGACTCGAGTTCAAACTAGTACTACAGGCGAATCACATGTTCCCCTATCTCTCCTCTAAGCCCGGCGCCTCCAGTGTTGCCAGTCTGAACGCTACGTTGCCACTATCGCATAGTATATAGTTATCTTTATTCAGGTAGAATACGTCTGGATGACAACAGTTCCTAAAACTCGAATATGTTGATTTGCCTTTTTTTCTTAGATTGCTGCTGGAGAAGGGCGCCCGGATAGTCCATTCCCACCACCTGATGCATAGCGCCGTTATGAACAATTCTTTGGAAATAATTCAAATGTTGCTAGAATCGGGTGGTCTAGTCAATGCTAGGGACGATGAAGGCGGCACGCCGTTAATGGTCGCCTGTTCACGAAAAAACATTCCGTTGGCGAGGTAAATTCTTTGTGATGTATCACGTCTTTTTTTTTCATGCGTTTTAACAATATATAATACAATAAATTATAAGTTATGAATAAATAGATATGCCACAAAAGGAAAATATCCTTTTGTATGGATATCATTCTTACACATATAACATTAGTTACAATAAATTAATTTATTAGGACTATGAAAATCTATACTATATAAAGATAATACATTAATTTTGTAACATAAATTAGTAATGCGGAAATGATATTTATATGTTAAAGTTTTCATAAATTACGTCATGCATATATCATGGTATAAAACTATTTTAATTATTTTAATTAAATTTAATTATTTGGTTTTTTCTATGTTGGTAAATCATGATATAATTTTAGACCTAAGTAAATGAATAATAATAATAATAAACGTCTTTTTATTTGGGCGAAGTTTAGCTCAAGCTATTTTTCCACTTAACCCATACAAAAATAAATACAAACATGAATAAAATAGATGATTTCAACATTATTCCCTTTTTTTGTTTGGTGTTGCAATAACTATTTGTTAGTTTTTATTTCTAGTATCATATTCATATTTTTTATAAATTGTAGAGTGTTTTTATGGAATTCTTTATACTAAAATAAAATTTTTTTCCAAAGTTTTGATTCTATAAACAGCGATTTGGAGGAATATGCTGAAGATTTGTTATGCATTGTTTTCAAGAATAATTTTTTTATTATTTGTAAAGGTTATGTGGTATTCAGCTAATGTTTGGTATAAAATTTTTAACCGAGTTTCATTGCCAATTTTCTGTAATATCTTATACTTATATAACAGAAATCTAAATTTCTGTGTAGTATATATTCCCATCTTCGTTGGGAGTTTTAAAGTCCGAGATACTTATAATTTAGTTTATAGTGACCATTTTAATGTTGACTAAGTTCAGGCTTTATGGATGATGGTGGTGTCATTTGCAATTATTATTTTTTCACTTTTTATTGATAGGTTATACATGTCGTTGATATACAGTAATGGACAAAAGTGTATAGACAAATTAATATTGTGCTGTATTTCTTTTTTAACTTGTTTTATTAATACACCAACCTGTGTTCATAATTCGTTATAGCATAATACTCACTTATACATAAATAAATTTATTAGACTCCCTTCAATAAAAAATTAATTGAAAAAACTGGAACTATGAAGGACAAAAATATATAGACAAAGCAAAACAATTATAGAAAAGCGAAGCAAAGTTCATTGAATTATAGAAAAGCAACCATGTTTGTGTTAATATTTTGTAGCATAACCATTATTATCAATCACCGCCTGGCCACGTCTCGGTATAGATTGTAGAAGTTTTTTGATATAAGATTCATCAATCTGTCTCCAATTTTTCTCTAAAGCGGCAAAAAGTGCATCCTTGTTTAAATAATTTTTATCTCGTATTTGCTTATCTAAGTATTCCCATAGATTTTCAATGGGGTTTATATCGGGAGACTATGAAGGCCATTTGAGAACTGGCATTTTTTCATCCAGAAAGAATGTCTTTGCGAGATTTGAAGTGTGCTTCGGGTCATTATCTTGCTGGAAGATTGATCTTAAGGGCATATTGTCTTCCATATAGGGTAACATGACATGCTTTAGTATGTCTGTGTATACAAACTTATCCGTAATGCCATCTATTCTATGTAAAGGTCCCATCCCAAACCCCGAAAAGTACCCCCAAACCATAACAGACCCGCCTCCATGTTTGACAGTGGGCAAAGTGTACTTGGGATTCAAATCTTTGTCCACCAGGACGTCTAACGTAATGAACACCATCTGATCCAAACATATTGAACTTGGATTCGTCACTGAAACATACCCTCTTCCACTCACAGATGCTCCAATCAAGATGCAACCGTGCAAATTGTAATCGGTCCTTATGGTTTTTCCTCGACATTAGCGGCTTCTTACTCGGGCGACGTGCAAATAACTTCAAATCATTTAATCTTCTACTTATAGTTTTCGTCGAAACACTGGCAATTCCTTTTGTCTCGATTTCGAATTTTATTTGTCTTGGGGTTTTAAACGGATCTTTGGACGAAATTACTTTTATTAATCTAACTGATCTAGCATTTAGTTTTCTACGCCGACCACTTCTCTTAGAGGCTTCCAAGATACCTTTTTGTTTATATTTGTTCAATATTGCCTAAACTGCTTTACGCTTCAGCTTAAAATTTTTGGCAATGTCGACTTGACGTTGACCATCTTTGTATAACTTAATGATCTTAGTTTTCATATCGAAAGAAATTTCTTTACCACGCGGCATGGTCTTAAAATCACTCAACTTATTCCACAATACTTGATGAACACAAAATAATCCTCTTCTGACACGAAACTGTACTAAACTAATGTTGAAAAAAATTTGTCTACATATTTTTGTCCCTCATAAAAAAGTGCTTATATTCAGACTTGTATTGTGTTCATTGCAGATAATGTAAAAACAAGGAATTTAGTTTTTCTACTAATAACGCATTTGTTTATGGAGCAATGAAGTATGAATTCATTTTCTAAAGGTATTTAGGTAAATATTCATATTTGTCTATATACTTTTGTCCATTACTGTATATACTAAAAAGAGGGGGCGCAGGTATTGTTTCTTGTGGAACTCCATACATTACAGTCATTGTATTTTCAATAACCTAATATTTTCTGTTATGCAAATAATTTTGAATTAATATAATAATAAAAATAATCAAATTCCAATGTATTCCAAATGACTCAATAGTTTCTTGTGATCTATGGTGTCATCTGCTTTTTTGAATACTGCCTTTGTTGGATTGTTAGCAATATTTTTAGTTAAGTCCTACTAATAATTTCATGGCATCTTTAGTAGATACACCTTTCCTAAAGCCAAACTGTGAATCAGGTATTAATTTGAATTCATCAATAAATTGTCGTATTTTCAGGATCTTTTCAAATATGTTTGCTAAATTTGTTGTAACAAATAGTTATTCAGATCTTATCTATCCCCACTTTATTGGTGTAATTAAAGTCGATTTAATTGCATTGGGATAGTTACAAGTTTCAAAAATCCAATTTATTATGAACGTAAGAGGTTTAGCTATATTTTGTCTGCTCTTATATTGTCATATACTGGTGATTTTTTGTTTTTAAGATAAGTCTAGTCATATGGAGACAGATGGTGGTTATCAAACAAAAGAAAAAGGCTCTATTGAAAAAACTCAATATTGTGATGTGTGCAAACTACTCATAGATGGTACAAACAGATTCTTTTCAAAACAGTTAATGTTGCGTTTCATTCTACTTTTCAAAACATAGCGTGTTTTTATTGGTTATGTATATTGAAAATTCTCCAATTTCTTTAAAGATACCTAATAAGTCGGGGTGCTGATGCCAACCATGTCAGCCATGTAGATGGCAAAACGGCTCTCCATGTCTGTGCTATGGAGGTGAGAGAGTCAAAGGCGGCGTCGCAACTTGTTGAGCTGCTGGTTACCAATGGAGCAGATATGAACTTCTCCAGCTATCAGGTATACTTTTAAGTTATGTCGTTCATTAACTTCAATTAAATGCACGAAAATAAGCGCCACCAAACACTTAGTCTTACAACTATTTACTGGGTGTTTCATATTTGACCCTCACCATTGAGATCTCGGAAACTTCAAGACATACAAAGTTGCTTAAATAGGGGCAAAGTTGCGAATTTAGGTAACTAATAAAATGCAGCTTAAAAAGTTTTGAAACCCAAAGTACTACCGGAGAGAGACGGAAAAAACAGAATTTTCCCAAAATCATTTTAATTTTTTCCTGACTTTATTTGTAGCGGTATTTTTATTTGTTTCTAATATTGGATTTTTGTTCAGATGAATAGAGTTTGTAAATCTGATTTCAAAAGTATATACAGTGAAAGCTCCCATAAGCGGACACTCACGGTTCCGTAACTTTTGTCCGCTTATGGGAGGTGTCCGTTTAAAAGAGAGTATGTAAGTATAGAGTATAAATAACGGGGTATATAATCATGAGGAAATGAGGTATTATAATCATGAGAAAAATGAAACAGAAACTCGCCACATTTTTAAAGTATGTATTTATGCTATATATCTATATAATATATGTACATATACGCATACAAAAACATAAATGCTTCAATACATGGTACGAGAATTTAAAAAAAACATTATTCTTTAGCTTGCTGAAAAAAGTTTAAAATGTTTGTCTGACGAAATTTCACCATCTTTTGCTGAAGGAGACAATTTTCGTAATAACTTTCTAAATTTTTCAAATGTTGAAATGCAGTGAAATCATCTTTAGCAAATTTTTTCAATATAGAAATATGATTTAGAGCTTCCCCATATGAATTTATCGTTTTTGAACCGCTTAGTGAGTCCACCAGTTCCATTTCTTCTTCTGAGTCGTTTGGACTACCATATTCAAGTTGGCCTGGGCTTTCTACATCCAAATTCGAAAAGTTGCCAATGGCATTTTCTTCTGTTGTTATGTTATTGTCTATGGCCAGGAAATCATCTACTTTCTGGGGATCTGCTACTCCTAAATGTTTGGCATGTCGCAGTAACTGAGCAAGTGTCGCTTAGGGCAGATCGTCTTCAGCATCGCAATAATTTTGCTCAGCAAATTCTGAGCTACATTCACTTTTTCTGAATCCAGCTTTGCCAAAACAGTTTTTAATTGTAGAGGAATTTACTTTATTCCATGCTGTTTTTATAAAATACAAAGCTTCTAACACATTGATAGACTTTGTAAGCTCAGATAAGCTTTGACCATCGTCAATTTTTGTTAAAATATGTTTTAAAATCAAGTGCCGATAATAAAATTTAAAGTTCTGTATGACACCTTGATCCATGGGCTGACAAACAGAAGTTGTGTTTGGCGGTAAAAATATAATTTTCACATTTTTCATTTTCATATCACGAGGATGAGAGCATGCATTGTCTAAAAATAAAAGAACTTGCCTTTTTTGGATTCTCATTTTCCGGTCGAATTCGACTAACCACTCAGACATGATTTCTCGGGTCATCCATGGCTTTTTGTTGGATTTCCAAGTCTCTGGTAGATCCTTAATAGCAACGTTTTTTAAAGCACCGGGACGAGCCGCTTTCCCGATCACAATCAAATCGCATTTTTCACCGGCCATATTTGCACAGAATAAAATGGTTAGTCTATCTTTAGACAACTTTCCACCCACACATGTTTCTCCTTTAAAGGACAGAGTTTTGTCGGGCAATGCGCGAAAAAAAAGTCCACTCTCATCTGCGTTGTACACATCTTCTGGTTTGTAGCCAAGCAACATGGACGGAAGTTTCTCCAAAAATTGTGACACATCAACTTGATCTACTGCAGCAGCTTCGCCAGATATGCATTTGGAACTCACACTATGTCTCTTGCGCCACTTTTGCAGCCACCCGTCGGACGCACTGAAATTATTATAGCCCAAAGTAGTGGCGATTTCTTTAGCTTTCATTTTCACTAAAGGCCCTGAGATTGGAATGTTCTGACTTCTAGCTTTCACAAACCACTCAAAACATGTTTTGTCTATAGCAAAACCTTCCTTTTTTAAAAAATCCTTCTTTTGATTTATATTAGTTCCTGATTGCCATTTACTCCTGATATCTTCCTTATTTTTGGCAATTTCAGCTGCTTGCGTTTTCCCAATATTAAACCTCTTTGCCAAATGACGAACTGAAACACTTTCTCTGTCTAATACGTTAACAACTTCCATCTTTTCCTTTAACGAAAGCATCCTTTTTTTTGGTGCCATTTTACAGTTACAATAATAAAATACGTAACTCAATCAACTACGAATTTGCCTGAACTGAAGACAAGCCACAAGATTACATACAGGCTACCCAACGAAATGCGTAAATGGGGAATCACCTAATATAAATCGGGGAATTACCGAATTTTATGTATGTAGATATGTGCAATGCAATAAGCGGAACTAAAAAATCGTCCGGGTATTAGAGTTTCGCGTCCGCTTATGGGAGATTTTTTGATCACATACAGGAAAATCTAGTGTCCGCGTCCGTTTATAAGAGCGTCCGTTTATCGGAATGCATTTAACATTGAAAATTGATGGCTGAAATTCGGTTCCAGGAACTTTGTCCGGTTAAAAGAGATGTCCGCTTATAGGAGCTGTCCGCAAGGAGAGCTTTCACTGTAATATGTTATACATGGACATTAATAAACCTTAGTTATTTCAAAAAAAAATTAACTTTCTAGGTAGGCTATGAAATTATCGCAGAATCGTTTATTTCCTGTATAAGAGAAAAAGTGGCAATAACAACATGCAATTCATTTTGGAATGCCATCTCATATAAAGTGAGGACAAAAAAATGATTTTATTATGGTATGAAGGCCTTCCTAGGTAATTCAGTTTTTTTTTTCAAATAACAAAGGTTGGCAGTGGCAATATATAACACGTGATACATTTTTGGAATCAGAATTAAGAAATCTATTCTTCTGTCCAAAAATCCAAAATGACGTCCATAAAAAAAATAAAGTTGAAGCTTTTGGACAATAGACAATACATCATGTCGAACTTCTGATTAATGTTATCTTGTAGAAGAGAAAAAGTGGCCAGATCAATATGCAATTTATTTTAAAATACCATTGCAAATTAAGCCAGGAAAAAACTAGAATGATTTTGGGAAAAATCAGTTTCTTTCGTCTATCTCCGCAAGTACCAGTCAGTTACCTAAATACGTAACCTTTCCCCCACTTGAGCTACTTCGTATCTCTTACAGCTTCCGAGATCCTAAATCTTAGGAATAACTAGAGAAGACGCTGACTGGTGATTTTTCCTATAAAGGTTGATGTCACAGTTGACTTTAAAAGAAAAATGAATTTTGCTTTTATTACCTCCGAGGGTATTACTACTATCATGTGGAAGTCACATGAACAAATTTTTCCACGTTGTATTTAAAAAACTAAAGCAGCCTGAACAGCACTAAGTCTTTCTCCAACTTCTATTGTTTCATTTGTCAACAAAAAAAAAACATTTAGATGCACTCATAAAACTAAAAGCAATCGTATAGCTACATGCAGGCCTTTATTTCTAAATTTTAAAATCATGATTGTCGTATCATTGTTCATTTTAGAAACAGCGACTCTTATTTTTAAAAATAAATCTAAATTTCAAACATTAAATATACGTTACAATATTAGACGAAAACAATATATTAAATTAGTAGTACCTAAAACAACACTTGTGAAAGACTCAATCATTTATAATGGTCTGAAAATTTACAAGTGTATTCCTGGTGCTGTCAAAGGAATTATCACTTTAAAGATGTTCCGCCGTGAACTTGAAAACTTTTTAATATGTAGATTATATTATACCCTGAGTGTGTGAATTCTACAATTCACGTACTTAAGATCCACATATGTAATTACGTTATAGTTTAGGTTCACTTTATCATCAAGAATGATTGTATGCTTCAGATTATAAGCATATTTATCTATCTATCATTACACGGTATGAAATTTGACACGGAGAATTTGTACAACGTACTTTGCAAAATTTTTACATTTTATAGCGTTTCTTTTGATAAAACTGTCGCAGTTTCCGTGTTTGGAACACTCTGTCCTTGTTCATACTAAAAAAAAAAAACAAAAACGTCAATGTCTTTATTTTTGTAGTGTTGTCAGCTGTCATTGAAAAATTTTCTTCATTTCTTTATCCCTTTTCAAGCTGTTGTTTTTTTTTTGAAGAAGAAGAGGGAAGAACAATCATGAAATAACTGAATATAAAAGCATGACTGCAATACACAAGTGAAAGTTGTAAAGCGTGACACTGTAGACAGTTGACAACACTAGCACGAGCTCCTCCAGATTGTGCGACATTTTTACACTGAGTGCAAAACTAGTTCGAAGTACAAACTAAAAGATCATGAATATGCAGGGTGCCCAAAAACGGTTATATCAAAATATCTCGAAAAAATAAGTTTACCAGATAGAAATGAGATAGAAACACAGTTGTAAGGTCTGAAAAGGATCATCTACTGAAGACCTTGAACGTTGCCTTAATTATGACCTTCAAGGTCAGTTGAAGGTCAAGACCGTTTTCTTAAATGGAAACACCAATTTTTGACACCAAATATGTAAAGAGCGGAAGATTTTACATTCAAGTAAGTCCAAGTGCATTGTGACCTTGAATGTGACCATGACCTTGGAGGTTTTACGATGGTCGAGGATTTAGCTGGACGTGAAATTACTGTTCTTGAATCGAGCATATGAGTATCCAATTGAAAAATCAATTCAATCTTCAAATGACCTTGAATATCATTGTCAACGTGACGGTCAAGTACATGATAGTGACCTTGATCGTAAAATGTTTCGTTTTTTGATTTCTCCGACAAAAAGTAAGGAGATTACTTAAACAGTTATCACCTTGAAGGACATGGTCAGGTTCATAGGCAATGATATACTTCGACGTAAAATTGTCCGCAATTTCATTTTTATAATATCATGATAAATTCATTTGATTTTCAAATGGCTATGATGGTCATAGCCA